CATGAAAAGCATCTCCATTCCTCCACTGTTAGTTGCTTGTTGTTTTCTTTTAAAGCTTCATCAAAAGCACATTTAATTTCTCCATTCCTGGGAAGGTTCTGTTGCTGACAACGTAAGTATTCTTCAAGATGATACTTTCTCTGTAGCTCTCATAATTTCTGAGTCCTCACAAAGATTGTCTTTTTTTTTTTTTTTTACTCCAAAATCCATAGATCTCCTTTTATTAAATTTGTTACTGTTAGAGAATTCTTGGATTGCCAAAACTGTACCTGAGAGTTCAAAGAAAGAAGTGGTACAGTGGACAGCTTCATCTACCCATCATATAGTATAAAAACTTCATGTGCATTTTGATAATTTTACAATCTTTAAAAAGTTTTATCAAGAGTTGGGATTTGAAATCCCCTGCAAGTCTTTAATTCCTAGTACACTATACCATTAAATAACACTTCCACACATTCATCTCAGTTCTTTTTTTTTTTTTTTTAATTCATTCTTTAGTTACATAACACCCAGGAAGATTTTGCTGGAAGAGATACCTTCTTCCCAGGGAAAATTCGTGGCCCAATGACCAAGAGATTACTAGTTACAGTCTTTGGTTCCCAAAGTATTCCGTTTAACCAAGAATCCCTTGTTTCTCTCAAGGATTGTCTTTGAGGTCCACTTCCACCTGTAAGTAGTATCTTCAAGGCAATCTGGCCTTTACTGTTTTCACCTTGAAACTGGTAGTTTTTTCTACACTCAAGTTTTAAAACACTTTATACATTTTAGGTTAAAAATTTATAGCTGCATCCACTTGAGGTACCTACCTATTCTGTCTTAGTTACTTGTATTCGTTAGGTGTCATTGAGTCAAATATGACGCATTACTGTGAACAGCAGTTCAGAACCCTGTTCTATACTGTGCCATCCTCAATGTCTCTGAAATAATTGAACCCACTGCTGCAGTCACTCTGCCAATCCATCTAATTGAGGGTCTTCTCTTTTGCTGACCCTCCATATTTATAAGGATGATGTCCCTCTCAAAGAACAGCCTTTCCTAGCAACATGCCCAAAGTATGCAAAATGAAACTTTGTCATCCTTGCTTCCAAAGAGCATTCTAGCTGTACCCTCTGCAAGACATCTGTTCTTTTGCCGGTCCATGAGATAATTCAGAACTCCAACACTACAGCTCAAAGGCAACAATTCATCTGTTATCTTTATTCATTGTCTTGCTTTCAGATACACAGCAAGTTACTGAAGACCATAGCCTGAATCAGGCACACCTTACTCTTCAAACTGACATCACTGAATGATGACAGCATGCCCATGTAGTTGAGATAAAATTTCACTATTCTTACTCTAAAGTGCATGCTGGTTGCATTCCTAAAAGACAAACCTGTTTGTTCTTTTGACAGTCGATGGAATATTCTGTACTTTTCTCTAAAGTCACATTCAAAAGCATAGATTTTTTTTCTTCTGACGTCCGGATACATTGCCGAACTTTTCCAAATGCATGGAAGCAATTGAAAATATGGCTTGGGTTATATGACCTTAGTCTTTAAACTGATGTCTTTGCTCTTTAGCACTTTAGAGTGGTTCTTGGCAGCAGATTTTCCCATCTTTGAATAGTTTCTATATCTTGACTGCTGATACCATGGATGTTGCTTGTGAATCCATGTAAAGGGAAATTCTTGACAACGTCTCCATTTATCATCAAGTTACCTATTGATGTAGTTGTGAGGATTTTTGTTTTCTTGCTATTGAGATGTAATCCATGTTGAAGGCTAGAGTTTGATCTTCTGTAGCAAGTGCTTCTTTCAGCCCCTCTTTACTTTCTGTAAGCAAAATGGTGCCATCAGCATAATGCAGTTTGTTGAGGAATCTTCCAATCCTGATGCCACATTCTTTGTATACTCCAGCATCTCAAATTACTCAGTCAAAATTTAATAGCTATGGGGAAAGAATACAACCCTGACCCACACCATCCCGGATTTTAAACCAAGCAGTGTACTTTTGTTCTATCCAGACAACTGTTGGTCTATCTGTGCATAGGTTTCACATGAGTACAATGAAGTGTTCTAGGATTTCCATTTTTCACAGTATAAGTCATAATTTATTATGATCCACACAGTCAAATATCGTTGCATAGTCCAAAAAATGCAAACTTTTTTTTCTGGTATTCTCTTGTTTCCAGCCAAGATCTATCTGACATCAATAATATCTCATGTCACAGCCTCTTCTGTTCCAGCTTGAATTTCTGGCAGTTCCCTGTCAATACATTGTCCTAGCAGTTTTAAAATAATCTTCAGCAAGATCTTACTTGCATATGATATTAATGATATTGTTCAATTATTTCAGCACTCTGTTGGATAACCTTTTTTGGGAATAGGGATAAATATCGATCTCTTCCAGTCAATCGACCTGGTAGCTGTTCTCCAAATTTCTTGGCATCGACAAGTCAGCCTGTCCAGGGCTGCATCTATCCACTAAAATGCCTCTGTTGGTATCTCATCAATACCTGGAGCCTTATTTTTGCCAGTGTCTTCAGTGAAGCTTGAACTTATTACCATTAGTTCTTTATCATATGCTACTTTCTAAAATGTTTCAGATCTAATTTTTTTCATCAAGTGTTAATTTTTTATAGTCATTTTAGTAAAGTTTCTTTCTTAGAAATGTTTTATTATACTAGTTTATTTACAAAATTTGAATACATTGTTTTCCAGAACAGATTCTTCAAATTTTTCTCACCCCTCAACCCATCAAATTATATAACTCCATGATTAATCCTCCCCTCCCCATGCATATCCATGAGGACCCAAGGGGGAAGGAGGGTGACTAATTCTTTTTGATGTAGTAACTGTCCATCTTCTTTTTCTTTTTTGAATTTTTAATTTTTCCTTCCATCTTCTTTTGATGCTTCCTGCATCATTTAATATTTTGCCCATAGAATCCATTACTGCAACTCAAGACTTAAGTTTGTCCTTCAGTTCTTCCAGCTTGAGAAATGCTGAGTTTTAGACATATTATAATTCATCATTGAATTTTTATAAAATTTCTTAGGGGAATATTTTTAATCAGATTCTTGATCATGGCCTAGAGGTAAGATGCTGCACTGAACTCCCAAAGACATGAGATTCAAATCCACCAGCCACTCTGCAGTAGAATGGGCTATCTCCCATGTGATTTACTGCCCCTGAAAAGCTGCTAGAGGGTGACCTATGACTCAGTCTGACTTGATGGCACACAATAACAACAACAATAATACAGTATGCCATTTTAAGACTCTATGTCCCTTATTACTCTTTGCTGTCAAGTCAAAACATTCATGCTTGACCTTCCATTATGTTTTCAGAGACTGTAAATCACACAGGAGAAAACTGTCCATCCCTTCCCAAGCAAGTCATGCTTTCTGACTTCATGCCTCTGCATTGGCAGCATAACTCTACCTACCAGCTCACTAAAAGTGAGATGCAGTAAACTGCATTGTGTGTTGTACTGCTGAGTTGGAACTCACCCAAAGCTGACCCTCCAGTGAGTTTTCAAAGGCAGTAAAATGCATGGGAAGAGATTACCCCTCTTTCTCCCAAGGGGTAACTAGTGGATTGGAACTGCATACGTTTGTGTTGACTAAACTATGTCAGCCACAACTTGTTATGATTGACACAGTCAAATGCCTTTGCATAGTCAAAAAGCACAGACAGACATTCCTCTAGTATTCTTTCAGCCAGGATCCATCTGACATCAGCAATGATATCTGTTGTCATGGCCTCTTCTAAATCCAGCTTGAACTTCTTGCAGCTCCCTATCTATGTACTGTTCTAGCTATTTTTGTTGTTGCTGTGTACCGTCGAATCAGATCCTACTGGCACAAGAGGAAGGTGCCCCTCCTTCTCCAGTGGAGCATCTGGTGGATTCAAACCATATGCCTTTGGGATTACAGTGCAGTTTCTTGTCACTACGCCACCAGAGCTCCCTTTGTTTAGCTGTTTTTGAATGATCTTAGCAGTATCCTACTTGCATGTGATATTAATGTTATTGTTGGATCACTTTTCTTGGGAATGGAAACAAAATGGAAGCTTTTCTCCAAATTTCCTGGCCTAAACTAGTGAGCACATCCAAGGCTGTGGTATCCCATCGACTCTTAGGGCTTTTTTGTGTGTGTGTCTTTAATGCAGCGTCTACTTCTCCTTCATTAACATGCAAAGTCATCGGACAGTGTGGGTCATAACAACTTATGTCTGACATTGAGAAGAATAGGAGTCCCAGAGCACTTAATTGTGCTCATGCAGAACCTATACCTGTTTGCTGTTGTGCAAATAGAACAGGGGAAGCTTACATGGTTTAAAATTGAGAAGGGAATGTTTAAGGTTGTATTCGCTCCCTAAACCTTTTTAATGTATGATGAGCAAATTATTCAAGAAGCTGGACTCTATGAAGAAGACTGTGGCATCAGGATTGGAAGGAGACTCATCAATAAACGTGTTATGCAGATGATACAACCTTGCTTGCTGAAAGAGGAATACTTGAAGCACTTATGTCAGAATATCAAGGAATGCAGCCTTTGATAGGGATTGCATCGCAATGCCAAGAAAACAAAAATTCTTGCTACTGGACCGATAGGCAACATCATGATGGAGAGGAGATTTTACTTGGATCCACAATTAACACCCTTGGTACCAGAAGCTGGGAAGTAAGAAGATGCATTTCCCTGGAAAAGTCTGCAGTCAGGGACCTCACCAAATTATTGAGGAGTAATGATGTCAGTTTTAGGACTAAGGTGCATCTGATAACAGGCCATTGTCTGTCTTTTTTTTTTTTTAAACTACAAAGGATAAGTTTGTTCACTTTTTTAAATTTAAGTTTTTGTTAACAATACATTAGCATCAATAATAGCAAAAACAGCCTTTTATACAATAACTTAAAAGACCAACCATGAGAAAATAATGAAGTACCCAACCACTATCAGAGAAAACAGGTCCTATCATTTGATTCTGTTGTTAAGTCCGGGCCTACTCTTAACTTCAGGTCTCTGTCCTGAACAGAAGGTAAAGTGTTCAAGTAGAAAGAAAGAGTTGTAACTGAGTTGCTGATCCTCAACTCAGCTCAAGGAAGTTCAGACGTAGCCAGAGACCTCCAGTTTATCCAGTTTTAGGATGTTTCAACACGGTATCCTTTTGAAGAGCTTTGGCAATTCCATCAGTACCAAGCTTCAGATCTTATCAAAATAATTTAAAATTAATTTTAAAAAAAAGACTTCGTCCCATAGGAACAGGGAACTCTGGTGGCATAGTCCATAACAAGGTGTGCTGTTAACCCAAGGAATAGATTTTTTTTTCCCATCGCTTCTTTAGCTTCTTGTACTTGGCTTCCAGTGTTTTTGAATATGCATCCAGCTTGTAGGCTGCTTGCTGCAGGGCTGCTACCTGCTCCTCAATCAGACTGATCTGATCCAAATAAGTCTGCAGTCCAGCATACTTCTGGTTTAAGTCCTTTAAGTTTCTACTGATGTTTATAGCAATATCTTTTATTTCAAGTTACTTCAAACTGGTTAGCTTATTCATATTTTCCAGGAGCTTATAATCTTCACTGGTGGCTGTCCATTCCCCAGTCAGGTAAGTGGCCGTCTTGGAAAACATGTCCCGGCACAGCTCATTGATGTCCGCCTCTGCGGGCTCCTTTGCTTCCTCGGCAGTCTCCACAGCAGCAGCATCTCGAACCGGTTCTTCACTCCAGCTCGCCAGGACGCCCTCAGCTGCCGCCGCCATGCCTGATCGGCTGCTTCCCAGGCCATTGTCTTTCCAATCACTTGCTAAGCATCTAAGAGCTGGACAGTGAATAAGGATGACAGAAAAAAAATTGATGCTCTTGAGCTATGGTGTTGGAGAAAAGCACTGAGTATCCCATGGGTGGCCAAAAGAACAAACAAATATGTCTTAGAGAGGGTGCAGCTGGAGTTCTCTTTGGAGGCAAGAATGATTAGGCTTTGCCTCACATACTTTAGGCATATTGCTAGCAGGGGCTTTTCCTTGGACATGATCCTAGAAAGGGTGAATGGTCAGCAAAGGATAAGACCCTTGACCAAGTGGATTGGCACGGTGACTGCCCCAATGGACTTTTGTGTGTCAGGAAGTGTGAGGATGGCACAGGATAGAACAGAGTTCAGATCTTTTGTTCATAGGGTCGCTATAAGTCATACTCAAAGGCACCTAACAACAACAAGAATGTAGCATCAGGATTAGAGGAAGACTCATCAACAACCTGGATAATGAGGATGATGCAATATTGGGCACCTAAACTGAGGAGTACTTGAAGTGTTTGCTGCAGAAGGTCAAAGACTTCAGCCTTCACTATGGATTGCATCTCAGCAACAAGAGACCAAAGATCTGCTACCTGTCCAATGGACAGTATCATGATAGATGGAGAATGAATTGAAGTTGTTAATGATTTCATATTGCTTGGGACTACAATCATCACTCTTGGTACCAGTAGTCAGGAAATAGATAAGTTGCACTAGGAAAATCTGCTTGTCAAAGATCTCTCCAGAGTGCTAAAGAGCAATTATGTCAGTTTAGAGACTAAGGCACTCCTGGTCCAGGCCATGGTCTTTTCAATTGCTTGATATGCAGTTGAGATTTGGACAATGGATATGGATGAAAGAAGAATCTATGCTTTAGAGTTGTGATGTTGGAAAAGAGTATTGAACACATCATGAATTGCCAAGAGAACAAATAGGCCTGTCCTGGAGAGGATGAAACCAGTTTGCTCTTTGAAGGTAGGGATTTTGAAGCTCCATCTTACATACTTTGAGCATGTGACCAGGATGTACCTGTCTTTGGAGTAGGACATCATGCTTGGAAGGGTAGAGGGTCAGTGCAAAAAAGGAAGACCCTGGTTGAGATGTGTTGACACTGTGTCAGTGGGTCAAGGTTCAGAGTCATCATTGTTCGTAGTTCGTTGACTTGTAGTCAACTTGACAAATGACAAAAAGCTGACTAAGGCTGGCAGAAGAAGAACTGAAGCCTTTGAGTTGTGGTACTAGAGAAGAATATTAAACATACTATGGACTACTAAGAGAACAACCATATCTGTCCTGGAGAGGGTGAAACCAGGTTGCTTCATGGAAGCAAAGTTTGAAACTCTGTTTCACATACTTTGGACATTTTGTCAAGAGGGATCAGTCCTTGGAGAAGGACACCATGCTTGAAAGGGTGGTAGGTCAGTGCAGGAAAGGAAGACTCTAGATGAGCTGAATTGTTATGGTGACTGTGGCAGTAGGGTCAGGTGTGTTGGAGATGGTGAAGTTGGCCCAGGAAAGAGCAGGGTTCAGAGCTATTTGTAGGGTTTGCTATGAACTATAGTCAACTCGATGGCAATAACAACAGGCTTGTTTTTGAAAAGCAAGCTGCGTAAGCGCAAAAAGTAAATATCTTGTATAAAAGATATATAAAAGAAATCTATGTGTTATGCCAAAACTGTTGCAATCGAATCTATTCCAACTCATAGTAATCCTATAGAATAGAATGGAACTACTCCATAGTCTCTCCTAGGCTGAAATGTTTGGAAGCAGACTGCCATATATTCTGCTGTAGAGTAAATGGAGAGTTCAAAGCAGAAAGCTTAAACTTACCCCTAAATGCATAAATATATCCCTGAAAGGGTACATATAGAACCAAGAACAGTAGTTACTTGATGAGAAGAAACTGTAAGAAGGAAGAACATATGATGGGAAGAGGACTTCACTATGCAGCTGCTTTTACACACATTTTTAATTAAATTCATGTATAACCTATTGCAAAAATTCATTTTAATATGAAATTAAGTCTAATTGTTGATTGCCATCTGGTCGAGCATGACTCATACTCTATGAACAAAAGGCCTGAAGCCTTTCTATAACTATCGTCATTTCTCCAAGTTCATAGAGTTTCCAGAGTCATGTGATTTAGGAAGTACACTCTACTTAAATCAGATTTGTGTCTTGGCATTATAGACTAATATTTACAGATTATTTCTGTAATTGGAGAAATAGTTTTATTTCTTCATAAACTTTTTTCATTCAAGTTTTGGGTGTGAATCAAAAATTAGGACATGCTCAAAAAAAAAAAAAAAACCCAGACAAAAAAGAACAGAGAAACTTGTATTTTGAAGGAGAAGCAAATAGAAGAAAAAAACAAAAGAAGCCGTAGAAAATTAAGCTTAATTAAAACAGCCATACTGAAAAGAACAGAGAAGGTAAGAGCAAAAGCTCTTAGTTTCTTATGAGTAAAACCAAAATTGGGTTCCTCAGCTGTGTGTGCTTAGTAATGTAGTATTTCATCTGGCCCCACTGAGATAATGGCAGTCACTCAACTTGTTCTATATGTATCACTTACTGCACTGTTTCTAATAATTTTCTCATTTGCCTCCCTCAATAAAGAGGAATATTTAAGGACAAGGATTATTTCTTCTGACTCTGATACACAGTGATGTACCAGTAAGTTGTCTTGCATGACTGGATTTCCTGTGAAAAATAACTGTAGAATTTGCTCTTCTAACTTTCTAATATGTCTGGCACAAAATCTAAACTAGAATAAAAAGACCCTTCTCTATATAGCTACTTTCACACACACACACACACACACACACACACACACACACACACACACTGAAGATTGTTGTTATTTGCTATTGAGTCACCTGTGACTCATAGCAACCCTATGCACACTAGCTCTGAAACCTGAGCCAATCTCATCATCTCCAAGAGACCCCGTCCCATTTCTTCAGTCACTGAGTCAATCCATCTCATCCTGAGTCTTCCTCTCTTGTGCTATCCCTCTTCCTTTCCAAGCATGATGTCCCTCTCTGAGGACTGGTCCCTTCTGGCCACATGCCCAAAGTTTGTGAGACAGAGCTTCAAAATCCTTGCCTCCAGGGAGCAGCAGCATGATTTCATCCTCTCCAGGAGAGACCATTACCTGTAGTAAAAAATAATCTTAATTTCAAATTTAGTCATATTCTTAAATCAGATTTTTTTTGAGGGCCCTGAAAAGGGCTTTTCTATTTGTTGCAGATGCAAAAGTTTGGCAATCAGCTGCAGAAGCCATAAAGGGTGCGTCCCTGGCACTTGAGCGTGTAGACTACGTCCATGGCAGTGACAGTCTTGCGCTTGGCGTGCTCGGTGTAGGTGACGGCGTTCCGGATCACGTTCTCCAGGAACACCTTCAGCACCCCGCGGGCCTCCTCATAGATGAGGCTGAAGATGTGCTTGACGCCGCCACGCTGGGCCAGGCGGCGGGTGGCGGGCTTGGTGATGCCCTGGATGTTATCGCGGAGCACTTTGCGGTGGCGCTTGGCACCCCCTTTTCAGAGACCTTTCCCGCCTTTGCCACGACCAGACATTTTCAGAAAAATTAGACCTGCTGTAGTCTTGTCTTAAATCAGATTTCTTTGTCTCTTAAAAAGAGTGTGGCCTAGTGGCAAGAAACTGTGCTGCAATCTCAAAGGCACACAGTTCAAATCCACCAGCTCCTCTGAGGGAGAGGAAAAGGATGGCTCTGAAAACCTGCTGAAGGGTCAGCTATGGGTCAGTTCTGACTTGATAGTACAAAACAACAACAGCAACAACACATGTTTATTAGGGCTCTGGTACAGTCTGTAGGAAATTGTGTTGTCAGCACTTAGGCTGCATTTCTCTGGCTGGCTGACTCCACTGGGTACTAAGAGGAAGAAAGATGGCCAATAATCTCTTCCCATGTGATATATAGCCTCGGAAAGCCAATGGAAGGTCAATTCTGAGTCAGGTCTCACTTTTCAGCTGTAAGTTGACGGTGGAGTTTTTGTCATTTTTGTTGTTTTCATTTCTCAAAAAAAACTTCCAAGTGCTATACAGACTTCTTTATTATCATCAACATGCTACCAGTAGTGTCTGTTAATGTCATGTATTATAAAATTATGATTACTATTATTAGGATTCTTATTAATGATTACTATTATTGTTGTTGTTGTTATGTGCTGTCGAGTCGTTTGCGACTCATAGCGACCCTATGCACAACAGCCCTAAACCCTGCTCTATCCTGCTCCAACCGCACCGCCTCTGACACACCCATCCCGATTACCCCAGT